GGCTCGCCTCGGCCTCGGCCTCGGTCTCTTGGCCTCAAAGGCCCGGCTAAGGCCCGGCTTTGGCGAGACGAGACATCAGACGTCTGCGCCTTGATCCACTTTCCCAGGCCTGTCAATCGTCCCTCCGCTATGGCCCATCCTCCCCTCGGCTCAGCGGCTGGCCAGAGATCCGGATCCAGAAGACGGCGCGCTTCGGCTTGCTTAGCTCGGCCACTTAGGCTGTACCAATGCCTCGGTCTGCCTCTCACATCTCCACTTCTCACGCTTGGCTGGTCTCGGATAAGACGGCCGCGTAAACAATTCTTGCGATAATAAAGCCGTGGCAGCCGCTTCTCTTATCTCATTCGCCCACCACCCCTTCACCCCTACACTTAGTCCGACATGTTTCCACAATCACATCAGTCAACACACATTCGTATGGCAGCGCATGGACCGGCTTCGTTGCATCACAAATCGTTTAGACTGATAGTCGTTTGTGCTACTGTCTATGGGGTCAGTAGACTGGTGCTCATTTGCCTAAAGGAAAGTGAGAGTGAGAGAGTGAGAGAGGAAATGTAAAGTAATGACAAGCTTCTATTGATTACTGCTTATTGTTTATTTAGAAGATGCGATCTAGGCTGGAAACCGGTCCGAGGATGAGTGATACCGGCGGCCCGTTGAGTCGGCGACTGACGCTGCGTCCCGACTATTCCATGTCGTTGCCACGCAGTCGTCCGGGCCGAACGCTTTTGCCTCGTTCGCCCACACAGCCGGACAGCCAACCAACCAAGCGGAACCATCGTTCCACGAGTCAGGATGAACAGCGATCGTTGTCCGGCGTTGTGAAGCGCTTCTTTGCCGGTTCCCACAAGAGCTCGACTGGTACCGTTGTCGAGGATGTAGACGATGCGTATTGCCTGGCACCGATGGTCGCTGCCGACTCTCTCTCCTGCATGCCTTTGCCGTCGCGATGCGTCTCAGAGTCACGAATGCAAGAGTTCACTGAGCCGATGGACAGTTCAGACGCCGGCCCTTTGGACGGCCAGTCGTTGAACGGAAGCGACGTTAGCTCGATCGACGTTAGCCTGGACGGTGGTGTCTGTTCAACGGGCATGGAGCCATTGAGCCGAGAACTTCAGCGTCTGCAACTGGATCTTGCCGTTGTCTCGCAGCTCTACGCCATTCACAAGCAGCGGTCTATTGAGACACGTCGCAGTGCGTACAGATGCGCCTACAAGTTGAACGCACAAAAGGTGAGTCGGATCGGTACGCCGGTAGAATATGATGCATTATTAAGTAGCATTAGGAGACAACATGAAGTAGTATGGCATTCGTGATTAACAGAATACCGATTGGCCAATCGTCACGTCAGAGGCGGACTAAGTATTTGGAATGGAATTAATGTTAATTTTAATCATGAAATAAATACAAAAGTACAGGACATCTAAAGGCCTGGGATTGTACATCGTCAAAGGTTAGTGTGCAATTTGTTGCACCACTCTGGTTCACTTCCTCGGGTTTTGTATGTAAGAAGTGACCAAAGTGGTTTTCTCTACTTGAGGTATCGTACGATAAAAAAGAATGCACTTTCGTTTCGGTCAAGTCGAAAGGACAAAATGTATGATTGCGGCAATCCTTTCTTTTTAACCGCCAGATGAAAGTTATCATGAATATGGCTGAAGATAGTTCGTTTAGGCAATGCAGTTCTGGCCGTATTTTATTTTTGACCACCGATTCACATCTCACCTTGTATAAACAGTGAGGGATCCTTAACATAATCCCATCGTCACCATTCATCACCTTACACGAAATAGGGTGAATACATCTCATTACACTGATTTACTGGTAGTCTCGAAACCC